CTCTCTGTCATACATCAAAAGGCTGATTTCCTCCTCTTGAATGGCCTCGAGTTCAGCTGCTACCTCCCGATCATACCTTTGGGCTGCGTCCATGATGTCTTCTGCCGAGACTGCGTCTGCCGAGTCCATCGTAGTGGGATAACGATCTAGAGGCACGTCACGAAGAACTTCAGCCAGTAATTCAGGTACCGCCGTCGGTGAAGAGTGCACAGAATCGACTTGAATTACTTGTCGGTGCTCGGCTCGTTGCTGTGCCTCACGCTGCTCTGCCTCCTTGTATTCTGCATTCCGAACCGCTGACATCCGTACCTCCTCAAATGCATAGACCTGCCGTTCTGCACGTAGCCATTCTTGAAAGTCAGCTTCTTCCTGCTGTCGTGCAGCGTCCTCATCAGCAAGCGCCGTATCCACTGCCCTGGTCATGGTAGAGGGTGGTGAGGAGTAAACTGAAGAGCACAACGGCGAGCCCGCCATATACCTCTGGCACTCGTAGTCGATGTACATCTCGCTGTCGCGCTCAGCCTGCCTCTTCTGCAAACGCAACTCCGCTTCAAACTTCTCCGTCTCGTTCTCCAAGCTGCTGCCAGGCTGAACTCTGGATACTCCTATCTTGCCATATGGATTCGTTCGATTCGATCGCGGAGTCATTCCTTTCCCTTTCTGAACACGAAGCCGTCCAATCTCCCCTTCATAGTGCTGTGTACGAGCCTCTGCCGATCGGACTGCCTCCACGAGCTGCTGTTGTCGTACTTCATCTTGTTGCCGCTGTTCCGCTAATTCCATCCAAACCTTCTGGTACTGCTCGTCATTCTCGGCCTTCATCTCCTGCACCTCTCTGAGTTCGCAAGCCACTTTTGCCAGTTGACTTCGCTTCCATTGCTCCATGTCCTCGGTATCTTTCTGGTGTTTGGCTTTGTCCATCTCGATGAATGCCTGGCGCTGTTCGTCAACCTCCTCTGAACGACGCTGGAGCTGATGCATGATCGTCGCGATCTTAGCCATCTCCTCCTGCCCAAAACGCTGTACTTCAATTTCTCGGCTTGCAAGTTGCTGCCTCTGATGCTCCAGTTCTTGTTGTTCTCCGCTATGTTCTCGACGCCCGCACTCGATCTGGACCTGCAGCTGCCGGTTCTGCTGCAATAGCATTAGGTTGTGATGATGAGCTGCTGCCGCCGCCCTCTGCTGCTCCAGCCATTCGTTGTGCCTGGCCGCCTTAGCCTCGCTCTCGTAAACCTTGGCCTGCTCCTTCGTGAGTAGTTCTGTCCTCGGCGCTGACTTGGCTACCGATGTCGCCGCCACTGAACTGCTGCTGTCAACCGTCATGTGGCCATCAGCTTCCCTGCGCGGTGGTTGCGGCGTCACCTGAGATGGCGGCATCTGCGGGGCTTCTGTCGTCGGCGCCTGAGTAGCAGGAGTCTGCATTTGTCCTGGCATTGAAACCAACACAGGAGTATCTTGCCGACCTTGTATGAGCTCTTTGTGACGCATCTGTATACCCACTGGAAGCGGTTGCGCCGACTGTGAACTGGGTACAGGCATCGATCCATACACCTGAAACGCCGATCTGTCCGACGAACTCCCTGGCATACTTCCTGCTGGTGTACGTGCACTAATACCCCCATATGGATCCAACCTGGCTGGCGAAGCTGAAAGTCGACGAGCATCATCCTGCGCTGGGTTCTGCACTCCAAGCTGCTGTACTGTACCACGACCTCTGGAGACCTGTCCCTGCGGCTGTCTCAGAGAGGCCTGGCAGCGCAAATGTTTGCCGTCCACAATTGGCGTTGGATCCCGTCTCGAATACGTTGGCGGCGGTGGTGGTGGTGGCGGTGGTGGTGGGGGAGGTGGTTGATCTTCTTCACCTACTCGAAGATCCTTCTGAAGCGCAACCCTCCTGTCGTACCCGATATCCACCTCCGTGCTTGATAATTCTGTCGTGTCTGCCTCTCCCTCAGCTGCCTCCCGAAATAGATCGTGGTAGTAATCCAACAATGTCTCTTCATATAGAGCCTCCTGTTTGAGTGTAGCTATCTTGCCCTCAATCTTGTGCAGCTTCTCCTCCGTCTTTGTAATGTTATCCTTAGCTTCACGACGTTGGATGGCACAAGGTTTGAGCTGCCACATCATCCACTTCATGACACTCAGCTCCTTCTCTTGAGTAATGACACATGTTCCCAGCCGCCGCCCATGCACTATAACTTCTGCAGTTCTCTGCATCCTCTCCTCCAGAGACTTCCGATACTTGGCTACGTCGGACTTCGGCGGTGGGCTGTACATGGAGTGGTTCACTGCGTACTTGCTCGTACTCATCATCGTCTCCTCCAGGACTTTGGCAATCTCATTCCTGAATGTGGCACTGTCCCGATCACGTCGACGTTGATCAGCTTGCTTCTGCATCTGCTTCCTCCAAGTATTGTTACAGCTCTTCTTCGCACACTGCCATGAGGCTGGATCATTGCTCTGGCCACAGTCGATGCATGTCCACTTGCCTGGCTTCGCCATGCTGGAGTGGTGCGCCGACAAGAGCTGCTTCGCCTTCGTGATCCTGAGGAGCGTCCTGGCCTGGGCACGTAGTCGCCGCCGTCGACGATGTGCAGCGCACTCAGGGCGCTTGGCCGTCTGGCCTGCTCCTGGCGAGCGGCCCTCCGCGCGCGGCCTCGCGCGCGGCCTGGCCCGCCGCGGGCTGCCGCCAGGGGCTGCCGCCGCTGCGAGGGATGTGGGGGGTCCTCCCCCTCGCTGCAGCCCCTATCGCGGCCGCCGCGCTGCCGCCCGCCCACACGTGGGGCGGCGTCCGCCCCACCCCGAGTGGGCAAACGGCTCCTCCCCCTCCTCCCCCCCTCCTCCCCCTCCTCCTCCTCCTCCTCCTCCTCCTCCTCCTCCTCCTCCTCCTCCTCCTCCTCCTCCTCCTCCTCCTCCTCCTCCTCCCCCCTTCCCGCTCCTGCCGCGCCCCCTCCCCTGCCGCAGAGGGCGGCGTATCACGGGCCCCAGGTTCGGTCCATTCCGAAGGCGAACCTTGCTCGTGCCCTGGAGTTCGGCCTATCCACGCTCAACCCCATGGCCATGTTCCCGCATCCGCGCGAGCACAGCCCAGACCGCAGGCGGCGGGCTGAGCATCCAGCAGGGCCTGGTGCCTCAGGATGGCTTGGGCAGGAGGGTGCGTGGCCTTTTCTCCTCTCCCCTCCCCCTTCGGAACGGGTTGGGCCCGCTGCGGCCCCGGCTGCGACCGCTTGGGCGCGAGGCGGCGTCGACACGGAGGCGGCTGCGAGAGAGTTGGAGACATGGCGCCTACCCCGATCTGGGAAGAAAATTGTCTAAACATAAACTGTTGACGGTCCGCGCGGGTTTTTGGGATCGGCGCTGGACCCCCCTCCGTTTCGCGCGGGTCGATCCAGGGGCGGCCCCGGAGGCGCCGCCAGGGGACCCCAGCGCAGACCCAAGAAATCCGCGCGGCGTTCCGAACATGTATGGTTACGCCGTCCGTGTTTGTTCATGCCGTTTCTTCGTTGTCCGATATGTATATAGCCATTATGAAAATACAAAAACGAGAACAATAGAAAACAAGCAACGGCCAACAGACCGTCACCGGCTCCGAAAGGGCCGAGCGCAACAAGAGGCCGGAGAGTTGCGAAACTGTGAAACGTTGAATAGGCGGCGTGCCCAGGGGGGAGTCAGAAGGAGAAGACCTTCTCAGAAGGCGGCGAGGCTTCTCAGAAGCCATCCCGCCTTCTGAGGATCTTACGTCTGTGTCTTCGGGAAAGGCGCGGGCCCCTTCTCAGAAGGTCGGGGGACTTCCAAGCCTTCTCAGATTGCCTGCCCCTGTTCTCTTCCCCCCGCTCGCCCGGCGCCGAGACACAGTGGAGGGAGGAAGAACGCGCGAAGATTGAGGGACGTCCGACGAGCGAGAACGAGAGGCAGAGGCAAAAGAGAGGGAGGGACGAAAGACGAGAGGGACGACCGAGGACGCGCAGGCAGGAAAGTCATCGTAAGAAGCAACCTCTGAGTCGGTCAGCAGTGTGCGGACGCAAGCACGTTGAACCAAACAGCCCTAGAGGAGGAGGAGGAGGAGGAGGAGGAGGAGGAGGAGGAGGAGGAGGAGGAAAGGAGGAAAGGAGGAAAGGAGGAAAGGAGGAGGGAGGAGGAGGAAAGGAGGAGGAGGAGAAGGAGGAGGCGGAGGGAGGAGGCGGAGGGAGGAGGGGACCACCCATCAGCAGCGGACGGCTCGGAGGTTGCAATTCCCACGGGTACACTGCAGCCGCTCCCTTGGCAGATTCGGAAGGGGCGACTCCCACGGGTACATCGCAGCAGTTCCCTTGACGCAGGACGACGAGGCCCGTGCACATCCGCTTGGCCAGGCCCATCCCGAGCTAAGGAGCGGTGCGGGTGCCTCCCGGGGCATGCCAGGGGGGCGTATGCACCGCCTCTGGACCCAGGATGGGCCTGACCAGCGGTGGTGGGCAGGCACGGGTCTCGTCGCCCTCGTGACAGGCGGAGGGAGCAGGGCTGGCCGCCAGGCCCTGCGCGTGGCAGGCGCGCCGCGCGTCACGGGCGCTCCGCCCGGCGTGGCGTCCAGCGCGTTTGCGCGCCACTGTTCGGTGCCATGGCTTTCAGGCCAGGAGTCGCGTTGACAAGCTGCCTCTGTCCCAGGCCGCCAGTCGATGCTCCATGTTGCGCCTCTGGGAGGGCAGGGGGAAGGAGAGGGGAAGCCTCGCCCCCTCGGGGGGGTGAGGGAGGGAGGCAAGGGACGGGATAGAAAAAGCGACTTTTTAACCAACCCAGTAGCAGCGAGCCCGACCGCTGCGCAGCAACTGGAGGACGAGGAGGAGGAGGAGGAGGACGACGACGACGCCGACGCCGACGACGGCGCCGACGCCGACGCCGACGCAGACGCAGACGCCGACGCCGACACTGACGACGATGACGACGACGACAACTGGGAGAAGACGGGGGAGGTGGACGAAGAGGCTGGCCAACGGGACGCCCCCTACTTCTCGCCGCCGCAGGGTCTGGGCGACCTTGTGAAGAACACCTTCGTGCACGTTCCCCATCCATCGGAGGCTCTGCCAGGGTGTGAAGGAGGAGCCGTGCGTACGGATAGAGACAGAGACGTTGTTGTCAGCAGCGCGAGCGGTCACAAACGCCATCGAATAGCCGACGGGCCGCGCCAGAAGAGGGCGGCCGCAGAGGAGGAGGAAAGAGGAGGCTTGTTTTGCTCCCGTCCGACTTGAGGACCACATCCCAGAAGTAATTTCGATCACCCCGGAACAGATCGAAACTGTGTCGAACGAGTCTCGCTTCCTTGGGCCCGCCACATGAAAACCCTCAAGTTTCGGTACTTTTTTGGTGCTCGAAATGCTTGCTGGTGGCAAGGCTAAAGTAGGTTGGAACATTATGAGGGGGGGCCTCAGACACAGACAGTCTATGCCACGAGGAGCACGCAGGCAGTCTCAGGCACTGGGAGTCGGAGTACTCGCAGGTTGTGCGAGACAGTATATGTTGCCTACTCAGGGTTTCTTAACAAGCGTGTGGGGGGGACCCCCCCGACGAGGGTCAACCTCGCCTCGCCGTCGCGCCGCGACGGGGGTTGGAGCGCCTTCGGCGCGCGGTGGCTGCCCGAGACGGGTGTCGATGCGGGACTGTCGGCGGGGGTGACGCCCCCACCGACGCACATTAAGAAATTCGGAGTAAGGGGGTGCAGCGCCGGGAGCCATCGGAGAAGCACGGCCGTCATCAGATGGGCGGCGGTAAAAGTGTTTCCGAGGCCGTCTTCGGAGAGAAATGGCGAACCAGGGGTGGCCGGGCTTTGCTGGTGTAGCCTCCTGGGCGTGACTGCCAAGCAGGCGCGAGGCCAGGGCCCAGGCCTCGCCGAAACGCAGCGCGAGGAAGTGCGCGGCGCCCGAAGCCTGCGATTCGCAGGCAGCCGCCGGGGCGGCCAGAGGAGGGGTGGGTGCAGGCAGGGGGGCGGAGGGCAGGGAGACGGTCTGAGACGAGGGAGGGCACACCCCGATGCGCAGTGTCGACGGGGGGGGGGGGCGCCCGTGGCGGGGAGGGGGCAGCGGGAGGTCAGGATGGACCAACACAGCCAGGCTCTGGCGGGGGAGGCGGTTCGCGAGTCTTACCCATCGGTCGTTGAAAGTAGGTATTCCGTTGGAATCAGGTCTAGCTGGAGTCCCAGATTCCAACCTACTTTAGGCGCCTTCCTACTTCAATGATCGGGTGGCTTCACCTCTTCCATCCTCTTTAGGGGCGGGCGGACACCCAATCCACTTTCAACGCCTTCTACTTCAGGTTTCGACCTACTTCTTCCGACCGATGGGCAATATGTGCGGCAACCGGCGGAAGCAGGGAGGGGACGCGGCAGGACAGGAGGGACCTCCGCGACACGCTCGGGTTGGTGGGACGGGCAGCAAGAGCACCCAGTGAGCGCCCAATCGGCGCGGCGACCGTGGAGAGGCCAGGATGGGCCCCGATTCCGGGAAAAGCAAGGCAAAGGAGCAAGTGGGTTCAGGGTGCCGCCCACACGGGGGCGCACACGGGCTCCGCGAGGCGGGGACCTCGGGTTCCCGAAGGGCTCCTTCGGGTTCCCGAAGGGCTCCTTCGGGTCCCCGAAGAGCTCGGGGTGGCCGACAAGCTCCAGCCTTGCAGCAGCGCTGCGAAGCTCTGGCTCTCGCGACAGCCCCGCCAGATCGTGCCAGGGCCAGCCCCGCCAGCGCTCAGAGGCCACGCAGGCGCTCGCTTCCGCCGTGTGGGCGTCCGTCGGGCGCTTCCCGCCGGCCCCTCTGCCGCCAGGGTCGCCCTGTGTTGGGCACGTGGCGGCGCCGCAGACCGTAGCTGGCGGCCAGGGCTACGGTGTCGTTCTGGCTGTCGGCCAAGCAGTTGGGGAAGTTCTGGCAGAGGCGGTCCCCATCGGTGTGCCGGAGCGGATTGCACATGACCCGTGCCAGCCCCTGACGAACACATGGTTACGGTCTCCCCCTGGAGGCAGTGGACAGCTTGGCTCGGGGTCTCCAGGCTCTTGTCATTGTGGTGCACCCCGCCCCGATAGTAGGTCATTGGGCATCTCACTCTATCTGGTCCTGGACAACGGCACCCCGGCAGGGCCGTCGAAGTGTGACCAGGTCGGGGTACTCGTCCCGGTGGCTCCGTGCCCAGTGTCTCGTCCAGGGTTCCTTCCACGCCCCGCCTGCCTCTGGTAGGTGTCCCACGACCCGTCCGCAGGAAGGCCTGAGCTGGCCGTTGGGCGAGTTCTCCGTACCGAGGAGCTGGCTGAGAGGGAGGGTGAGAAGACGTGGATGAGGAGGATCGCTAGGGCGGAAACGATGACGCAAGGAATGTGAACGACACTTTCCAGCAGCTCCTGATTATTCGTTCATGTTAGACCACGATTTGCTGCCAACTGCAGGGCCATCGTGGTCCGTGTAGAGCCGAACGCCTGCCGTCCAGCAGCAATGGTTGATCAGTTTAGAACATTCGCTGTCGGGTATCGCTCCCATTGGGGCTGATTTTGGGCGTGCCAGGAGGAGAGAGAGGAAAAAGGGCAAGAGAGCAGGAGCAGGAGGAACAGGATGAGGGCGAGGAGGGGCAGGATGAGAGGTATGGACGAGGAGGGGAGCACTGTCGTTCGCGCTCCCCACCAGCTGGAGGTTTCGCCCGGGCATGCGCAGGAAAGGGGACGATGGCTTTCCAGCGACCGGCCGTCGGCGGTTTCCTCCTCGTCCAGCGTCCTCTCACGTGCGCCTCGTCCTCTTCCGAAGGAGGTGGACGAGGAGGAAAATGATGAGGAAAATGAAGGAAGAGGACAGAGAGAGAGAGAGGAGGAGGAGGAGGAGGAGGAGGAGGAGGAGGACGAGGAGGACGAGGAGGAGGAGGAGGAAGGGAAGAAGAAGAAGAAGAAGAACACGAAGAGAAGAACGAGGACGAGGAGAAGCAAATGTCCTCCTCAGAGACTAGGTGTTTAGTGGCGCAGGTGCATGGCCACGTACTTAGAATATCTACCCCGCGCATTGGCATTCTCAGCTTTGCTGGACCTGACGCCTCAGCCCATGGGAAGCGTGATTCAGAGGTTCCGTTCCATCGTGTTGGCTCAGACCTTCACTGCAGGATTTGGCTGTCGCGCCCCCCACGCAGTTGGCAGGCCTAGTACCCGTCGAGTGCAGAGCTGAACGAACAGCCAGTTGATGGCCAAATTTGACAACCCCAGCGACGAAGGACGAAGAGGCGAGGGCGGCGGAGAGGGCGGCGGCGCTGCTCGAGAATCTCGCCCAGCTGCCCGCGCTGGCCTCGCCTCGCCGCTCGGAGGCCCTGACACCGGGGTTCCTCCTGCGGCTCTGCGGCACGGGCAAGCTCACGCACCGGCTTCGCCCCAGCCCGCCGGTCGACACCTGGGCAGCCGCGGCCACCTGCGACGAGGCCGCGCCCGAGGGTCACGAGGAGCTCGCACGCCTGGACCCCCTGCAGGCCGAGCAGCGGACGCAGTGTCGCTTGCCGCTGCGCGGGCGCATACCTAGGCGCAGAGCCTGGCGGGGGGGGTCCGGGCACGGACGGGCTTGGGAGAAGTGGCCGACCAGAAAACAGCCCAGCTGCCCGTGGCAGCACCTTGCTGGGCGGCCTGAGCTGGGCGAGCTCCTGCCCGACGAGGAGGAGAGACGTCGGCAGGTGCCGCCCATGGAGGCCGCTCGCGAAAAAAACGGACTGAAGCTCCACCAGAAGGCACCCTCGCAACGGCTCTACAAAAACAGCCGCGAAGCCTTGCAGAGCACCTTCGGAGCTGAAGAACGAGCACTGCTGCGTTCCTGCGCACCCGTCGGCGGGCTGGCAACTCGCCAACGGCGGCCCGCGCCACCGGCTCGAGAACGACCCCCATTGCGCCACCGCGCGGGCGATGTTCGGCCAGGACAGCCCGCCGGCGGGGGCCCGTCCGCCTCGAGACCGGCCCGAGGGCGGGGGAACTCTGCGGGCTGGCGCTCGGATGCAAGGTGCGCCGCTCCCACCGCTGCACTTGCGGAGGCGGCCCGCAGACGCGGGGCAGAGAGGTCTGACGCGAGGGAGCGCAGATTCCAAGCACGCGGCTTCCGAACGGCCCGACTTCAGTGCCTGTCCCCTTCCGGGACCGACGGCGCCGGCGCTGCCCCGCCCTGCTTGCGCAGCGCACGGCGCGGCCGACGCGCCCCCGCCTGGGCCTCGCGCAGCCTGCGGGCTGGCGATCCAGGTGGAGCGCGAGGAGGCGCCCCTCGGTTTGGAGGCGCATCAGGCTGTACGCGGGCGCGACCGTTCGCCACGACGCCCCCGGGGAGGCGCGCGCCCCGGCGGCCGCCGCCGATGGCGACGGCGCCGTCGACGCCGCCACCGAAGCAGACGAGCGGCGCCGCTCCCCAGCGGGCCGCTTGGCCGCTGCCGCCGCTGGCACTGGAGACGGGCGGCCGCCGCGGCAGGGCGGCGCTCTGGCAGTCGCGCTGGCCGTCGCGGGGCCTCAACGACGACCTGGCTGCGGAGGCGGCCGCCAGCGCGCTGGCTCGGCGGCGGGGCGCCGAGCTGAGCGCGGCGCTCCACCACCGGGCCACCGCCCGGCGTTTCCGCGCGGCCGCGGGCGGGGGCAGCGCGGCGGCAGGCGCGGCGTGGCTGGCCGCGGAACTCGCCGGCTGAGCGGCCGCCGCGCGGCCTTCAACCTTTGGGTTTCGCTGTGCACGACAATTGCCGACGGTGGGGCCGCCAATGTGCGTTCGTTCGGCGCCCAGCTACGTTGCTCGGGCCATCGCTCCATTCCAGCCCCGAGCCCCCATTCCCCCGCGCACCGTCGCGGCGGGGGGGCGCCATGCCCCGTGAACGCGCCAGCCGCCGCCGCCGATGGCAGCGCCGGGACAGGGCCCCCGGTGGATTTTTTTCCAAGAGCATGCGTCCTGCCCGCGGAATGTCTGTCTCTTCCATTTGTTCTGGAGCCACGTCGCAGCTCGAGAGGCCCCGGGGGAAGTTGGCCAGCCGGACACGGCGCCCCCCCCCCATAGTTCCCGCGCCAACTCCGTCGGTGGAGGCGGCCTTGCAGTTGCCCGCACTGTCCGCCAAGGCTGGCGGATCGACGACTGCCTGGAAGCGCTCGAGCAACGCCGAGCATTTGCAGGCCCAGCTGCAGGAGGGCAAGCGGCAAGAGCAGACCGACCCGCCGGTGCGCTCAGCAAGCTCACTCCTCAGCCCAGCACCCGGGGAGACAGACGGAGTCGGGCTTCGCGAGGACGCTTCGTCTTCGCCAGGGGCGCGCTGATCTGGGGGGAGAAGCCGCGGGGGGCCAGGCCTGCGCTCGAGTGGGCCAGCAGGGAGCACAAGTCTTTGGTTGTCCTGCTCAACGGGGAGGCGTCGGCGGCCGCGGGGCCCCCCGTTCTGGCGGGCCCCCGCGCTTGCCGACCTGGCCCTCGGCGAGGCCGGCGCTGCGCCCATCGCCCCGCGTGAATTGTTGGAGCAGTCCGGAGAGGATTTCGAGGTGCCCCACGAGGATCAGCTCGAATTTGAGCAGGCGCCCGCCGATGGAGCCCAGCGCCTCGTCTCTCGGCTGCTCAAGCAGGTCGCCGAGCGCGCCCGAAACCGCCGCGAGGCCCATCTCATCACCTCGCGCGCCCGCCGAGAAGAAACGGAAGGTCGAGGGCGGCGCCACGAAGGCGTGGGCGGCGAGGCAGGAGGGGGATATGTCGCAGTTATACCAGTTGACGGCCCACCTGCTGCACCATCCGTCGAGACGCCTGCTGGCGGGCCCATGGGTTTTGATTTCGCGGATGTCGCGCCCAGCGCTGGCGAGTTTTTGCCGGGCGCGCCCCCCCTTACTTCGCGCGGGGGGGGGGGGGGTCCGAGACTGTTCCGGGCTGCCAGTGCGAAGGAGGGGCCCGTGGACGCCGTCCGGAGTCGAACCTCCGCGCCGAAGTCGGCACTCGGAGGGGCGAGCTTTCTGCGCTCATAGTTCGCAGGTCTCGCAATCGTGATGCGCGCGTCAGTTTCGGTTTTCTGCGGCCCCGGCGACAGAGTCACAGCTCCCCCCTCCCCGTCGCGAGGCCAGCCATCAGTGCGCACTCGCGGGCTCGGCCGTTAGCTTCGGGAAGTCACGCCGAGGGCCCCTAAATTGCGCGCAAGGACCGGGTCGCGGACTGCAGCTTCGCGACGTCGGTCGCCCGCGTCTCCGCGACGTCGGCGTTCGATCCGTTGCCTCGATCGACCGCGCGCGAGCATGGCGCGCACACCGACGGCGCTCGCCCGCGCAAAGCGGGCAAGTTTAGCAGCGCCCTACTTGGCGTGGCCAAGGGGGCCCGGGCTTGCAAGGTCATCGCGGACACGCTGCCGCGCGAGCTGGCTAGGGCGAAGTCGGGTTAGTCCCAAGCCACAAGTCTCCAAGTCTCTCAGAGATGCACTCGCGGCGGCGCTCGGGCCCTCAGCTGGCGCTGACACGGTGAGCGCAGTCAACCTGGACATTGATTCCGTCGCTGGCAAGCCCCTCCGCACTGCTGTTCGCGGGGCCAAACTCAGAGCTCGCGCGGCTGCGGCGGCCCGAGTGATCCGTCGGCCGCCCCGCTTCGGCTCGGGCAGGAAAGCGACCGGGACTTTCTCGACTGCCCCGATGGTTGGCGGGGTCGTTGGGACCGAGGCGCGCGGCGCTTCGATTCGGGAGTTTTTCTCCCTCGGGGGGATGCGCATGGGCACCGTCGAAACCAGGGCCCAGGGCTTTTTTTCATTCTGCAGTTTTCCCCCCATGAGGAGGGGCGCCTTTGGGCGGCCGCCTGGGCCGCGCCCCCCTTCTGGCATGGGCGAAATAGATTGGTCTCTGGCAGACCACCGAATGCTTCTGGGCGACGAGTGCATTCTTGCGAGCGTCGAGACGACGACCGTCAGGATGTTTCGTTGTCGCGCGAGGGCCTCTCCCGGGATCGAATTGCCGTGCCCATCGGCGCCCTCGGGGCGCCTTGCGGTCGGTCAGGCCAGCGCGCGCCCGCGCGCCGCGCTCTGCGGGGCCTCTCGTGCGGGGGTGAAAATGGCCACGCCGTCGCGCAGAGAAGCCGCAACCGTTGTTCGGCAGGAATTCCTGGAGATAAATGTCGGCCATGGTCGCCGCATTCGCCGGGGCGTGGTTTTAGAAATGACAGGGCCCCCGAGTTTCACAGGCTGGACAAGGGCCCATGAGCCCATGGGAGCCCAGGCTTGCAACGGCTTCTGGGAGGGCACGGACGCAGTCGCGGCAGGGCACTCGCCCGTTTCGCATCTCTGCGTTCACTGTGGACAGCGAGACACTCTGCATCATCGCCTCGGGACACGCCCTCGCTGTCAGCGCGCTCGGGACGAGGTCGCTCCGCGATGGGCCCAGGAGGCCGCTCGCGACGCGCCGGCGACGGATCGCGGCGGAGATGCATTTTTGGCGCCGCGCCGCCCAGCGCCCAGGAGACGTCGCCCCGTGCCCGCGCAAAGACGGCGAGGCGGAGGTCAAGTGGCACGCGGATCTGGTCTCTACCCTCTCCCCCGCTTCAACTACTGCCCCGTGCGAGGGCAGCATGAGGGGTTTTTGTCTATCGACGGTTCTTGTCAGCGCCACTTTGCCAAGAGCTTTCTCGTGGTTAAATGGGTCTGGCCATGGTCGTTAGACGACGCCCCCTGCGGAGATCGGAGATTTCGTTCGGGGCGGCTTGCGCGCTTATCGGGCGGCGCCCCCGCTCGCGCAGGAAGGCGAAGGCTCGCCAGGACTCCGACCGCCAGGCATATCGGATAAGGATCGCTTTCTGCGCCGGGGCAATTGTTTCGCAGATGCGACAACTAATGGCGCCTTGTCCCGTCACCCCGCGGTCGACCCAATTCTGTTGAAAACTATCGATGGGGGCATTCTGATTGCACGCCATGTCTTGAAGTTCGGCGACACCATCCTTCTCGAGCGACCCGCCAGGACTTCAGAGGCATTGAGTCCCCCCCCGCCGCCCCCCAAGCCCACCCTAGTGTTTGCCCACACGCGAAGTCGGATGACTGTTTTCTGGCGTGGCGAGGTTTGATTCAAGAGCTCCACCGTGGCGGGAGATCAGTCTTCACCTGACCGCACATGCCTTGGCCTGTCCCAAACTTGACAAGGTAGCCCTAGAGAGGTTAGGTCACCGACTCCTGGTTTTCCTATGCTCGGACGCTTCACGATTCTTCATATGACTCGGCTGCTAAGTCTACTCGAGTGGAGCGCTGGCGGCCGGTTTTAGCAGAGCCTGCAAGCCGCCCACTTCGATCGCAGTGCTATTGCCGTCGGCGTCGACGAATCCGTATTTGTTGTAGACTTTTTGAGGCAAGCCTAGAGGGTTGCTCTGCTTGTCGGTTCGCAGTCTTGCCGGCCCGCTGGCCGCCTGCGGGAGTTCGTCAGCAGCTCGAACGGCTCGTACAGGAGCTTCGCGTTCTCCTGGTTCCCTTCGCCCTCCATCTTGCAGGGCCACCAGTTCACGATGTACTGCTCCTGGCGCGACGAAAAGGAGTCTCTGGCTCGAACCACGCGCGTTCTGGCGGAGAGGGTTCGCCTGCGCGTTTGTCTGTTCCGCGCATGGTTTCGCACATCCGTTTCTGATGTTGTCTTTACCCAACCCTGGGTTGCGGACCCAGCGTTTCCTCTAAGGTATCAATGTTTCGGCCAAACCTGTTTCAAGCAGTGGCGAAGCGTCGTGACTCCCCTATATAGGCCAATCAAAGAATGTTCGAATCTTTTTTGTGGTTAGTACGAGATGTTCTTAGAACAGTAATGACTGGGATTGACTTGTTTTAACACATCGGGCTTACTTCTAAGAACATTGTCTTGGTGATTTGAACATTTCGGGTTTCTAAGAACATGTCGTGGCAGGCCTAGTGGAATGCCTGGACGGTCGGTCCTTGCTTAACTGTCGCACCTGCCCCGCGTGGCGGGGGGCCGTTCGGCAGTTGTCGTCCCGCTCCCGCCGCGAGGGTGGAGTCTCCATCGCTGGTGGGGGGGGGGTCCTGCTGGCAGGGCGTGCCCACGTTTCAATGGTGTCTCGCAGTGGCGATCAAAGGCAAGCGGGCCGTTCACCCAGAATTATCCCAGCGCGACCCTACCTAGGAGTTGGAACCCCTAGGAAAGCAGCATTAGTAGTAACAGTAACGCTAAGTTAAAGCTAAGCTAAAGCTAAGCTAAAGCTAAGCCACAGCTAAGCTAAAGCTAAGCTAAAGCTGAGCAGCAGCTAAGCTAAAGCTAAGCTACAGCTAAGCTAAAGCTAAGCTAAAGCTAAGCTAAAGCTAAGCTAAAGCTAACCTACAGCTAAGCTACAGCTAAGCTAAAGCTAAGCTAAACGCTAAGCGAAAAGCTAAGCGAAACGCTAAGCGAAACGCTAAGCTAAAACTGAACTACAGCTAAGCTAAAGCTAAGCTAAAGCTCAGCTAAAGTTAAAGCTAAAGCTAAAGCTCCCAGGGGACTGGGGGGAACCGCGGGGCGGGGACTGGGGGAACCGCCCGGGGCGTGTAGCACTGCCCGGCCCCTTTAAGCTAAGAGAGTAAGAACCCTTCTAGGCAGAGCCTAGGTAGGGAAAAAAGACTTGGAGAGTTAGGAGAAGGAGGTGGGGAGTGAAGAGCAGGAAGGGGGGGAGGACGGCGAGGATGACGAACGCCCTCATTGGGTAGACGGTCCCTCTTGTGTCGCTGGCCCCCGAAAGGTTGCCCCGACCACGCTGACTCGGTCTCGCTCCAGCGGGGGACTTGGCCATGTCGATGGAGGCGGACCAGTCGCCTCCGCACGAGAATGGCTGGACACGGAAGGACCGCGCGGTCGTTTTCGTCTCATGGCGTTTGCCTCCGCGGCGGTTTCTCGAGGTTCATGGCTCGGGCGAAGGGAGCGCATTGCACGGTTTTGCTTGTTTGCTGGGGGTTGGGGGTTGGGCTATAGATGCCGTCGCGGGCGTTTCCCCCTGCATTTGTTTGGCCCGAAGAGGAGGATCGAGGAGCCACAGTTCTATGACCTGCGCTTTGGTACGTTTTCTGTGCCCCGAGAGGCTTCTGGAGAACTCCACAAAAGCCTCCGGGGACCTCCTCCTCCTGCTCCTCCTCCTCCTCCTCCTGCTCCTGCTCCTCCTCCTCATCCTCATCCTCTTCCTCTGCCTCCTCATCCTCCTCGTCCTCGTCCTCTTCACCTTCATTCCCCCCTCCCGTTTTCTTCCTACAAACGCGGAAAAATTGGCAGCTGAAGTCGGAGGAAAAAGCAGGGACGGAACAGTAGCAGCAACAGCTCCGCTTGCCATACCGCTCGCTCCTGCAGAAACCAGCGGCTTCTCCAGATACTGGATTTGATGAGTAGGCGTGTTGCGCACGCCCGCGCGAATTATCGCAGGTCGATCTCGGCCACGTTCTGCCCTCTCCCGTTGGACATCCATTATCGTTTGTGCCACCTCTTCGTTTCTTCTTCGAATACCGATTTCTGACCACATCCACCTCTGGATCCTCGATTATATGATAGACCCTCGGGGGTGGAAGTGGGTAGTTGTTCCTTCCCCTGGGGCGGGGAAACTGCCCACCTCCACCTCTGGAAACCGCTTTTCGCAAGGCACCTCGGGAAGTGGGTGTGGTCAGAAATCGGTCTCCTACTTCTGTGATGGTACAACTATTACTGTCCGCCTCCTCTTCCTCCTTCTTCTCCTCCTCTTCCTCATCATCATCATGAGCAGCAGCACCTGCATCAACATCAGCATCAACATCAGCAGCATCAGCATCATCATCATCAGCAGCAGCAGCATCAGCAGCATCAGCATCAGCATCAACATCAACATCAGCATCAGCATCATCATCATCATCATCATCAGAATCATCATCATCATCATCATCATCATCATCATCATCATCATCATCATCATCATCATCATCATCATCGTCATCGTCATCGTCATCGTCATCATCGTCATCATCGTCATCATCAGCAGCAGCAGCATCATCATCAGCAGCAGCATTATCAGCAGTAGCCTCATCACGATCATCGTCCTCGGCGTCATCATGACCATCAGCAGCAGCAGCAGCAGCATCACCATCGTCATCCCAGCCGAGTCCCTCCCTAGCGTGGCTCGGGCAGCTGCGGGCGCGAATCCAAAGCTTGGCACGCGCCCGCAAGCCGACGGATTGCCCGAGGAAGCCACACGACAGTCCACCACGGCCTCAGGGACCCTTCTAGATGGCCCGGGGACAGCCAAAGATGGCTTCAAGACGGCCTTCGAGGCCGCCAAGACAGTTCAAGACGGCCCCCAGACGCGTCCAACAGGCTCCCAAGAAGCTTCGTAGAGACCTCCAAGAAGCCCAACTTCCCCAACAACAAAAATAACTAAAAACTGGCGGCAAACTATGGATTTCTGATGACTTCGCCTCTTCTCTTCCGATGTGCCTCTGAGGCTTCAGGATGGTCCAACAATGGTTCGACGGGACCCCGAGAGCAGGAAGGACGCAGAAGATAAGAGAGAGGAGCAAGAAGGGAGGGACAGCAGGTGGAAGGGAGGAGCGAAGGGGATAAGGAAGTAGAGAGGAGAGGAGAGGAGACGGAACAGAGATAGGGGAGGGCGAGTAATGGGAGGAGTGCGAAAAATACTTCAAACGGTTCGAAGTATTTGCAAGACAGACGCGGCGATTTGCACCCATTGTGTCGAGACGTCTCGAGACGTTGACCTTTGTTGAGCTAGAGCCCGAGCGCGCGCGAAGCGCGCGCGCGTGTTTCTAGTTGACATATCGCAGCGATCGTCGTCCGTTCGATGGACGCTCTTCGCTGGGACCAGCGGCACTGGTGATGCGGTTGTCTCGCAGCTCGCCGCGCTGGTGCCCGCCACCCGGGCGCCCCCGCAGGCTCCCGCCTCTCGTGCGTGTGACCCTCCGCCGGAGTGACCTCTGGCGCGCGGCCTTCGGGGGCCTCGGGGTGGCCAAGGCCCCCGCGCGCGGGCCGCCATCGCCGCGCCGCGCGCGGCGATCGGCGGACCGCGCGCCAGAGGCCGCTTCTGCCCCGGGTCGCTCTCGCGCGATGCCGGCACTCCTCGTCCTATTCGCCCTCCTCCTCCTCCTCCTCCTCGCCCTCGTCGCCCTTCCCCTCCTCGCCCTCCTCGCCCTCGTCCTCTCTTCTCGTCCTCTTCGCCTCCTCTCCTCGCGTCCTCCTCGTTCTCGTCGCCCCCCTCCCCGCCCCCCCATGCCCGAGCCAAGCGGCCCTGCCGAGCGAGGGTCCCAATGCGGCCGCTGCCGCCCTCGCGCGCAGCGCCTGCTGCAGGGCGGGCCGAGGAAGCGCGGCGAGCGCGGCGGCCCCAGACCCCTGACGTCGTGCTGTTTGTTCGCAGCGTCGACCCCCAGAGGTTTCGGCCCCTTCCCCGGGACGGACGTTTCATATGAAACGTCCGTCCCTCCTCCCCGGGACGACGTCGTGTTTTTTGTTCGCAGCATCCCTCCTCCCCGGCCCCAGACCCCTGACGTCGTACTTTTTGTTCGCAGCGTCGACCCCCAGAGGTCTCGGCCCCTTCCCCGGGACGACTCAAGATATCCTGAGTCGTTTTCCCAACCCTCCTGCGTTGGGTACTCGTTTTGAATAGAGCACTGTGGTCTCCACCTTCCCCCCTCCCTCCCGCCTCACCACTCCCGCCTCCTGTCTCCTCTCTACTGCCTCTTACCTCGTTCCTGTTTTTCCCAACCTTCCTGCGTCGGGTACTCGTTTTGAATAGAGCAGTGCTCGCGCGTCTACCGCCCCCTCTCCTCTCCTCTTCTCTCCGCGCGTCTCCTTCTCCCGCCCCCCTCTTCTTCTCATCCCTCCTGTGGGGTTGCGATTTGCAAAATCTTCACCAGTGTCGAGCACTGCTGGGGGGGCAGCGGAGTGACGTTTTACGCGGACCACCAGGAGACCTCGCCATCCCTGGGCCCCAGCGGAGTGACGCCTCTTTCTGTTACCTGGGGGTTGTTTCGAGTTCTGGGGTCGTCAGAACCCCGGCAGGGGTGCAGGGATAGCTTTTGAGGGGTCCAGAGGCGGCGGCGGTGGGAAAGAAATGGCCTCTGGCTGCATCTCTACGTGATGTTGTCCAGGGCATCGACCGTGGACAAACTCCTGATGATACGCGACCCCGGCCTGGATTTCCTGGCCCGCGGGCAGCCCGCAGACATGGCGGCGCGCCTTCGAGCGTTCAGCTCCCACGTTGAAAAAATGGTGCAGGAAAAAAGCAGAGAAGCTGGCGGGCGAGTTAGGTTTCGTTCGCTGCTTGCACGAACTATTCGCAGGGTTAAGCACTTGGTCAAGCGCCGCGGCGACATGGCGCAGGCAGCGCTGCATCTGTAGCGTACTACCGATAAACGCAACACTCTTCGGTCTCTTCCCGTCAATGTCGTCGTCGTCTTCTGCCCGTCGTGATTTATCACGACGCGAGGGGTTCTGGGGCCAGCCCAGATCTGGGGAGCGGTGAAGTTTCCTGCGGCCCCTTGGCACGCACAGCATTTTGTTATGACATTCGGTGTTCGTGGCGGCCGCGCCGCGCGGCCACTTGGCGCCACTGGGCCCGAGACCAAGGACGGGGAGAAACTCCTCGGAGCTTTCGGTCCAAGCACAGGAATCCGACGAAGGCATCTATGCACCACCACCACCACCACCACCACCACCACCACCACCACCACCGTGCCATGCCAGGGCCATCCTGCGTCATAGGATGGCGCATCGACTCTCATGGCCTCGCCAGGGTTAGGGTGGCCCTGGCTTGGCAAGGCGGTGGTGTATAGAGGCCTTTTGCGTGAGGAACACCATTGGTGATCCTGCGGAGGATCCAGAGCCTGTCAGGTGGGAAGAATTGTCGGTGCAGGGGCCTCCACCCAGCTCTGGGTGCGTGCAGCAGAACGCGCACCGAGTGGGAGGCAACGGCCAGCGCTCACTTGTGTTCGCTACTGGCGGTTTGGAAGGAGGAGGAGGAAGAGGAGGAAGAGGAGAAGGAGGAGGAGGAGGACGGGGAAAGGGAGAAAGAAGAGGAGGAAGAGGAGGAAGAGGGGTGGAATGGAAAATGGAGTGCAACGGGCCTTCTCTAACGATGCGGATCTGGGGCCTCCACCTCTGCACCCCCCCCCAGCCGCCACGGAGATTGCGAGCGAGAGGTGCCCGACCGTGACGGCGAAATGCGAAGCCACATTCACCGTGTCGTAGAAAGCGGCGACAGCACATCCTAGACGACCAAACATGTGAGAAAGGAGCATGTCACGTGTGAAAGATTGAGGGATTTGCATTCACCCGATGTCCAGCAATCGTAGGAGTCCAAGGAACGTGAACAAAAAGCATCGCTGCCACCTGAAAACAATCCGCGGCAGCGGGCATTTCTTGCTCTTACGACCATTGAGCAGACCATTGCGGCAGGGCCAGAGCAACGCAATGGTTCATCAATGATGTTGCAGAGCACCCTCTTGTCCCAGCTTCCTGTAACACGACCCTGCAAGCATTGATTACTGGCACGAGGGAGCGCACAGTTCAAAGACGACGGTCAGATGGGCACACCATTCTGGCCTGAGCCCAGTTTTGAAAAGGAATTGGTTCCCAGTGTTGCAGTTGTGTTAAATTGTGTGGCCATGACGGCCATCATGAGTATCAACCGAGAACTCCTGCTTGAAAAAGAACCACTCTCAATGTGTGTAACGGCTGGGCACTTCCAGACAGGTGAAGAACATTTGCGCAGCTTGTCCGACACCGAAGCCGACAAGCTGCGCAACAGCGCCCGCCACCCCACCCATCCGGAAGCGGATGGTCTCGGGCCCCGGAGCCGTGTCAGCAACCAGCCAACGAGCGCCCCGAACACCCGCCCGCCACAGGTGGAGACGCACAGCGCCGCGCCATGACAGGTCGCGGCCGTGCAACAGGTCGGCGTTCTCCGCCGGAGTAGTCTCGCCCTTCCGCCCGAATTCCGTAGACATAAGCATGCTAGAACATATCGCACACCATCGCTCGTCATACGTCATGCTCCCTCGCGCGAGGGTGAACACCAAGACGGAGGAATGGTGGGAGGGGAGAGGAATAGGAGCAGAGAGGAGCACAGATTGCACGATGAGCGGGAGAAAGGGAAATAGTGCCGACGACCACAAGAGCGGCATCACACTTCCATCTGGCTTGATGCTCTCCCGAACAGTCTTCCAGGCAGCCTCGCGCTTCGGGCAGCCAGAGCGCACCGAACACGCCGCAGAGACCGTCTGCACAACTCACCGGCCGAGGGCCACTGGTCTGCAGCGCTCGGCGGGCCACGCTTCATGCCATGATGGGGGCCACCTTGCGCAGCCACGCCGACGGCACCATGATTGCCAAGCTCCGCCACCAAGCAAACAGCA